AAAGAGAATAAGAGGCCTCGAGAACCAGCTTCAGGGCTGGAACACAGGCTGGGCTTTGACTGTTTTCCATGTGCCTTTTTTTTTTTCTGGGAGTGGGGAGTGGGGGTTGGGGAGTCCTGGCAGTGCTCAATCCCCAGCCCTGCCTGACCTCAGCACCCCGGTGACGCCCTGCACCTCTGGGCCAGTACTGAACTGACCAGCCTACAGACCCAGCTCGTGCGTGCTGGGGAGTGGACCCCTGAGCACTGCTTAGGTGGCCCATTAACAGAACAAGACAATAGGGGCTGGAAATAGCACAGTGGGTAAGACCTTGGCTGTAGCTGACCTGGGTCTGATCCCCGGCACCACATCCGGTTCCCAGGGGCCACTTCCGACAGCGAAGCGTGTGCACCGAATCACACCACAGCCCAGCGTGTGTGCCACCTCTGTCCTCACAAAGGCAGAGCGGAGGAAAGCGGGGCAAAGAAAAGGAAACAATGAAAATGTGTTTGGGGAGGGGGCTGGAAATAGCACAGCAGGGAGGGCGTTTGCCTTGCATGCGGCCGACCCGGGTTCGATACCCTGCATCCCATATGGTCCCCCGAGCACCGCCAGGAGTCATTCCTGAGTGCAGAGCCAGGAGGAACCCCTGAGCATCGCCGGGTGGGACCCAAAAAGCAAAAAAAAGAAAAAAGTTAAAAAATTAAAAAGTGTTTAGGGGCCAGAGAGATAGTACAGTGGGTAGGGCTCTTGCCTTTTGCATGGTCAACCCCGGTGCGGTCCCCAGCCCACGTATGGTCCTGAGCCTACCAGTAGTGATCTCTAAGTGCACAGCCAGGATTAAGTCCTGAGCATCACTGGGTGTGGCCCCAAAAAGCAATAAATAAGTAAATAAATACGTAAATTTTTAAAAAAATATAATGTGTTTTAAGTCAGGAAGCCAGGAGGGCCAACACCATTATCCAACTGGTGAGAGAACAGTAAAGCCTGGATCCTGGAGTTGGAACGGGAGCACAGCGGGAGGGGTGCTTGCTTTGCACGTGGCTGACCTGGGTTCGATCCCCAGCATCCCCATCTGGTCCCCCAAGCACCTCCGGGAGAGATCCCCGAGCACAGAACCAGGAGTCAGCCCTGAACACCCCAGGGTGTGGCCCAGAAAAAAAATAAAACAGTAACAGAGACCTGGTTCCTGGCTCCAAGCAGCACCCGTGCAACGGGAGGGCACGGGGCAGACCCAGACTGACCAGGGAGCCAGAGCTGTGAGCTGGGGGCAGGCCAGGTGAGGACTCGCAAGGACAAGACAGGACTCCTCCGTAATGAGCACAGCTGGCGTTTACTGGCCCATTACTCCGTGCCGGCAGCGGAGTGCGTTGTGTGTGTGGCATCGTTTGATCTTCCCAGCCTCTCTCGAAGGAGTGGATTCTGGTTTCTCCCCGCTTCCCTTTGCTGCTTTGATGACGGGTTCAAGGGAGATTGGGTTTTTATCATCGTTTCATTGGGTTCAAGGGACTCGCAGTCACTGCCTGGAATTCAAGTCCGGCCCGTGGAAACCGAAGCCAGTGTTCTCAGCGCCTTCCCCAAATCTGTCATCGCTCCTCCAGGGGGGCCTCCTCTCCTCTCTCCACCTCCGCTAATCCCTGAAGAAAGAGCGGTTGGTTTGGTTTTTGTTCCCGAGACCTTATCTGGTGCTGCTGAGGGCCCTTTGGCACCAGAGCAGGAGAACAGCGGGGAGGGATCTTGCCTTCCAAGCAGACAACTTGGGTTTGATCCCTGGCGTCCCACACGGTCCCTTGGGCACCGCCAAGAGTCATTCCTGGGTGCAGCGCCAAGTAACCCTGAGCATCACTGGATGGAGCCGCACCCCGTCCCCCCAGATAAAAAGCACAGACATCTGACTCACGATTTTTAATTTTTTAATCATCATCATCACTATTGTGTTTGGGTACCTCCATGCTTCTCAGGGGGTATTCCTGGTTCTGTGATCGGAGTGACCCCTGGTGGTGCTGGGGATTCTAACTAGGGGCAGGGGATGTGAGACAAGAGCCTTCACCCCTGGACTCTTTCTCTGCCCAGCACCCCACCCCACTCCAATAGCCCTGCACTCAGGGGTCTCTCCTGGTACCCAGGATCAAACCCAGGTTGACCAGGTGCAAAGCAAGTGCCCTACCCACTGTATTATCTCTCTGCCTTTCCTTTTTTTTTTTGGTGGGGGAGGACTACATCCCACCACCTCAGAGGTGACTCCTGGCTCTGTGCTCAGGAACCACTCTTGGTGGTGCTTAGAGACTATACGAGACGCCCAGATTGAATGGGGGTCTGCCGGGTGCCAGACAAGCTTGTTACCCCCGGTACTCTCTCTCGCCCGCCTTTCCACCCTGCCCCTTATTCTGTGATGCTGGGGATGGAACCCAGCACCTCCCCTATGAAGGCCAGTGATCCGCTGCTGAACTACCTTCCCAACTCTAAAGGATGCGAGTTTTTCCCCTTTTTAGGAGGGTGGGGTGGGGGATGGCATATCTAGTAATGTCTGGGGCTTATGCCTGGCTCTGTGCTCGGGATCACTCCGGCCAGTGCTCAGGAGTCCATTATGGAATGCCAGAGAAAGAATCAGGGTCAGCCGTCTGCAAGGGGCAATCACCTTACTCCTATACGATCTCCTTGGCTCCAGGATGCGAGTTCAGAGCGGCAAAGAATCCAGGGTGTGAGCACCACAGAGCTGGGGTCGGAGCCGGGGGCAGGCAGAATTCAGACAAGCCACCACCAAATGTCTCTAAGTCCTGGTCATCTCATCTGATGGGGGGGGTCTAGCCTCTTGTCCACAGGGCAGAGGGGGGTATCTGAGATGGTGTGGTCAGAACCCAGAGGAAGGGGTAGTAGTTAGCAATGGAGGGTGGGAGGGACATAGCCCGACCACGAGGAGCTTTGGGGCTAAAAATGGAACTCTGTCGGGGCTGGAGCGATAGCACAATGGGGAGGGCATTTACCTTGCGCAGGCCGACCTGGGTTCAATTCCCAGTATCCCGTGGGGTCCCCTGAGCACCGCTAGAGGTAATTCCTGAGTGCAGAGCCAGGAGTAACCCCTGAGCATCACCGGGTTTGACTCTGTCACTATCACTGTCCTCCCGTTGTTCATCGATTTGCTCGAGCGGGCCCAGTAACGTCTCCATTGTGAGATTTGTTGTTACTGTGTTTGGCATATCGAATACGTCACGGGGAGCTTGCCAGGCTTTGCCGTGATACTCTCAGTAGCTTGCCGGGCTCTCCGAGAGGGACGGAGGAATCGAACCTGGCTCGGCCAGGCCAGCCGCACGCAAGGCAAACGCCCTACCACTGTGCTATCCCTCCAGCCCAGGGTGTGACTCAAAAAGCCAAAAAAAAAAAAAAAAAAAAGAGATGGAGCTCTGTGGGGCGAAAGCTAGAATGTGGGCTACCGTCACTGGTGAGTGGGAATCCAAAAGGAGATGGGCCTTGAAGCCAGGTCACTGGGAACCCAGGGAAATGCCCATAAAACACGCTTCTGCGGGGCATTTGCTAGCGTATGAGGTTGGGGGCGGGGCGGGTGCAGCTCTGGGGAAAAATGAAAATTAATATGTATAAGCCGGCAGCTGTGTAAACCCATTGTGGTCGGCTGATCAGAAGGGCGTCAGCGGCGCCCTCAGTGTTCCAGGGCACGGCTGTTTCTGCAAGTGCCCAGTGGAAAAGAGGCAGGCGGGAAGGCTGGCCAAAGGGTCTGGCCTTTAACTTGCGGTCAGTGTGGGGAGGTGCAGTGGGGTTTGCCTATTGTGTTTTATATATTAGGATCTGCCCGGCTGTGCAGTGGGCTGCTCAGGTCCAGAGGCTCCGGGTTCCCCCCGGGGGGCCACGCAGTTCACAGACTCAACGCCGAGGCGTCACGTGTATAAGGCATTTCCTCCACCCTTTCAAGCTCTCCGGGTTCTGTTGGTTGATTTTGGTTTGGTTTGGTTTCACACCCAGCAGTACTCAGGGCTTACTCTGGGGTCTGCGCTCAGGAATCGCCCCGGGCAGGCTCAGGGGACACTGTGGGGGGTCAGGGAGCTCCAGCCCCTGATGCTGTTTTCATTGAAATTGCATCCAGATGCAGCCAGTGGTTACTGTTTTCCAGTATGTATGTGCAGCTTTGCCTCCTGACTGAGGTTTGCGACCACCCAAGGCACTTTGGACATACCCAGAGGGGTGGAAAATCGGAGTCGCGGGCTGGAGCGATAGCCGACCCGGGTTTGATTCCCAGCATCCCATATGGTCCCCTGAATACCGCCAGGAGTGATTCCTGAGTGCATGAGCTAGGAGTAACCCCTGTGCATTGCCGGGTGTGACCCCCCCGCAAAAAAAAGCAAAAAATAAAGAAAAATCAGAGTTACCAGATACACACTCAAGATGACACTTTTCCTTCTTGTTTCAGTGTCATACTGCAAATAGCAGATAACTTTTCCACTTAGTGCCATGCAGTCTTGGTTTAAAATGCCAACATAGGTGGGCTGGAGCAATAGCACAACGGGTAGGGCATTTGCCTTGCACGTGGCCGACCCGGGTTCGATTCCCAGCATCCCATATGGTTCCCCAAGCACCGCCAGGAGTCATTCCTGAGTGCATGAGCCAGGAGGAACCCCTGTGCATCGCTGGGTGTGACCCAAAAATTTTTAAAAAAAGCCAACATAGGTGCCAGAGAGATAGTATAGGGCTAAGGTACTTCATCTTGTACACGGCCAACTCTGGTTTCAATCCCTGGCATAAGAACCAAAATGAAGAATAATAATAAGCAGAAACACTCAAAACACCGCCGCAAACCAAGGCTTGCCAGCAGCTAAGAGCAGATTTCCTGCAGGGCACTGATGCCTCCGTAGCGACTCTCCACGCCCTAGAAGCCTCCCGCTTTCCACTTTTAGGAGTCGTGGGTTAGGCAGCCATCAGCATCGCCGTCGGGTTTGCTCTGCCGCGTGGTAGCCACCCAAGAAGGGACCGTGCCTCTCTGCCTCCCTGCTAATCTCGCTGCTCCCTTGCAGAATGCCCAGGAGAACCATGGACTGGCTGTCCCCACCCCCTCCGTCCCAGAAGACTTTGCGGACAAAGAAGTGACAGGTAGGAGGAACAGCGCTCGGGCCGGGGTCTTGGGGCTCTTTTCTTCCGCCTTGTTCCCACATCTGTGCTGCTTCCTCCCGGACCAGAGCCGAGTCCACGGGTCCCCTGGGCAGGGGTGGGAGTGGATGGGCGGCAGTGGCAGGGCTGGCGAACTTCCGGGGGGGGGGGGGGGGATGAAGGCGAGGGGCCCAGGACAAATGGGAGAAGGAGGAGAGGTGGGCCCTGAACCACTGTCCCCCACCCCCCGGCTGCCAGTGACCCACAGCAATTCCAGGGACAGCTCACGAGGAGTCAGGGGCACAGGCAGGTCCCTTCTCAGCTCCGAACCTGCCGTGATGGAGCACAGACAGTACAGCATCGGCTTGGCATGCCGGAGCCCCAAGTTCAGTCCCTGCCACTGCCAAGGTCCCGCGAGCACTGCTGGGAGCCACCTCTGAGCACTGCCCAGTGCGAGGACACTCTCGCTCCCCCTGAAAATCAACCAAACCTGCCCCTAATGTGTACGTCACACAGAGAAAAAAATCTCCCGCCGGACTGGGAGTTTGGCCCCGTCTTCTTGGCTCTCCTAGACCCCACCCTCGGCCAGTGCCCTTCCCGCCCTCCTCTTTTGCTCCGACCCTCCTCCTCTGCCGTCTTCCCTGGGCTTGACTGGGACAGCGCCCCAGCACCCCTCTGATTTCCTCTCCCCAGATCACGCCTCGCCGAATGCTGTGTTCCCTCATTAACATGCTGGTTCCTTCTCTCCCTGCCGAGGAGGAAACACAGGTCTAGGGGCTAGGAAGCAGGGAAGCGGCTCCCGTGATGTGTGTGTGGGTCTGGGCACCACCTGCCACCTGCTCACCCCAGAGCACTGTGATCCTGGGGTTCCCGGCACTCAGGGACCTGAGCACCTTGGAGTGTGGCCCACAGAGAATTAACAACACAGAGAGGACTCAAAGTGGGGTGGGGAAGGCTTTGCGGGCAGGGGGCCTGGCTTCATCCCCTGGACCACGTGAACTCCACAAGCCAGGAGCCGCCTTCCAGCAAAAGGAACAACAACAAAATAGCCTTAGGGGCTGGAGCGATAGCACAGCGGGTAGGGTGTCTGTTTGCCTTGCATGGGTTCGATCCCCAGCATCCCATAGGGTCCCCCGAGCACCACCAAGAGTAATTCCTGAGTGCAGAGCCAGGAGTAACCCCTGAGCATCACCAGGTGTGACCCCAAAAGCAAAAAAAAAAGCTTTAGGCAGCCTTGAGTGTTTTGGGGTGCTCTGTGCAGTAGTGCTCGAGGACTCTGGGCCGAGTTCCAGAGATAATTGGTCTGGCTGTGCAGGTCTGACGGTTACTGTAGAACTGGGGAGGCCACGGCACTGGGGGTAGGGGGGAGGCAAGCATCGCCAGGGACTGACCTTGGGACCTCCGTGTGCCAAGCCAGAGCCAGGGTTCTGCTGCTCTGCCTTCTGGCTCCAGGTTTTGGGGGCTGGTGGGTCAGTTGCAACCCACCCCCCACCCCTACTGTCCCGCTGTCCGTCCGTCTGATCTTTCTTTTTGTTTGCTTTTGGGGTCACAGCAGTGCTCCGGGGTTGCTCACGGGCGCTGCACTCAGGAACCACCCTCGGTGGTGCTTGGGGGACCATACAGGCTGCCAGGTCGGCCACACGCCAGGCAAACAAACACCCCACGCGCTGGTCCTATCGTTCAGGCCCCGCTGGTGTGATCCTTGAAGTCAGAGAGCTGGGCAGACTTCTTTGTTAGCTACCCAGAGAGGATCCCTCAGAGATACTGTCCCCAGGGACTGGGAGGTCTGCAGACCCTGGGCAGGAGGCCGGAGGTGGGGGGGGGGGGGGGCTGAGCCCGAGAGCCCAGGGCTGCATCAGCACCTGTGCACACCGGCCAGGTCACACTCCACATGGATCCACAGTCCCGAATATATGTTCTGGGAGGTGGACAGCTGGCCCCGCCCCTGCGCTCCGGGAAGCCCGCAGGTCTGCCTGCTCCTATCTGCAGACACTTCACTGCCTGCCGAGCTCTGCACCCAGCCCTTTCCCTGCACTCAAGGGAAGGCTCCCTTGTAACCCTCCAGCAGTTTTAGGAGGCCGCACGGACAATCTGCCCATTTCCTGGATGATGAAACCGAGGCTCAGCCCGGTTTAATTAGTGCCTCTGAGGCATGCCGGCTGCTAAGTGGCAGAGCTGGGCTTTGAACCCTGGTCTTTCTGGAAAGCTCCACTGCCCACCGCCCCTGTGAGAAACCAAAGGCCAACTCGAAAGGGGGGAAACTCCAAGGAGGAAGGGGTCACTTCGAGGGGGTGTGGAGAGGGTGAGGGGTCTCAGCCCCGGCCTCCCCCCAGCCCCCATCTCCCCCCATCTCCCACGCTGAGCTGGCCGGAGAGTGTCCAGTGGATGCTGGCTCCCAGCTGGGGAGAGTGGGAGTGGCTCAGGCACTCGTGGAACATTCCAGAGGCTTCTGGGGTGGGGTGGGGGGCACAGGGGAGCCTTTCAGGACACCTCTGGACACCTTCCTTCACTGGGAATCCCCCCCACCCCGCCTGCTGCTGCTGCAGGAGGGGCCTGGCCCTCCTCACCTCCCCTCTCCCTTCCTGCAGGCTCGCTGGTCAACGGGAACCTCCGCCTGTACAGCTCCGTGGGGGACTTGCGGCCCGGGCACTATGGCCTGGACCCCCTCATCCCCCCGCCGCCCCCGGGCCCGGCCCCGCGGCCGCCCGTGGACCTGGAGGGGAGCCCACCGCCTGGGGGGGAGTCTCCGCCCCCACCGCCTCCCCCTTCCACCGCTCCGCCCCCTCCGCCCCTGTTCCTGGAACCCCCCTCCCCGCCCGGCGCGGCCCCGCCGACCCCCCCAGCACTGGGGGCGCTGTCGCCCTCCCCCTCCACGCCCACCCCTCCCGACTTCATCCCCCCCGCCCCGCCCCTGGCCATCCCAGCCCCGCCGCCCTTGCCCGCCCCGGCACCCCCCAGCCCGGCGGTGTCCCCGCACGCGGCCGCGGGCACTCGCCCCTTCCCGCCCGGGGGTGTCACCAAGTGGAAGTCGGAGGTGGCCCTGAACGGGCGGCAGCCCGAGGGCCCCGGGGCCAGCCCCCCCAGGAGCCCCGCCGAGCCCAGGGGGAGCCCCAAGCCGGACCCCCACCTCACATTCCCCCGCTCGCTCAAAGTGCCTCCCCCGACCCCGGTGCGGACCTCGTCCATCCCGGTTCCCGAGACCCAGGAGTCCCCTCCGGAGGAGGAGGAGGGGGAGGCGGCGGTCACCAAGCAGGCCCCCAGCCGGCTCCCGCTGCCCCCCAGCTTCCACGTGCGCCCCGCCGCGCACGCCTCCTCGGACAGCGCCCCCGAGTCCCGGGGGTCCCGGGAGTCCTCGGAGCCCCGCGCTGCGGACCCCGACCCCGCGAGCCCCAGGAAGGGCGAGCCCCCGGCCCCGCCGCCGCCCCCGCCCCCTCCCGCGCCCCCCGCTCCCGCCCCCCGCGCCCCCGCTCCCCGCGGCGGCCCCCGAACGCCTCCCGAAGACCCCCAAATCCAGCTCCCCCGCCCCCAAGCCGCAGCCCAAGCCGCAGCCCCAGCCCCGGCCCCCCAGCCCGGAGAACGAGCCGGAGGCCCAGGACGCGGGCTCGTGGGACCCCGGGCAGATGGAGAAGCTGCGCAGCGAGCTGTCCGCCTACCTGTGCGGGCGCGACCCGCGGCCGGGGCCCCCCAGGGACCCCCCTCCTCCAAAGACGGGGCCTCCCCCGGGCCCGCCGCAGCCGCCGCCGCCGCCGGAGAAGGAGGCCAGCCCCGGCCCGGCCCTGCCCCCCGTGGACTACGCGCCCCCGGACCCCCCGACGCCCAGCGCGACGCCCAGCGTGCGGCAGATCAGGAGCGAGCTGGAGGCGCGGCTGTCCTCGGCCCCGGCCGAGCGGGACGCCAAGCCCGGCCCGGGCGCGCTGCCCCCCAAGCCGCGGCCGGACGCGGGCCGGAGCCCCGAACGCAGGCCGGCCCGGCCGGCCCCCGCCGCGACCCCCGCGGCCCCCCCGCGCGGCTTCTCCGCCCAGAGCCGCGCCCCCCGCCCTCCACGCCGCCCTGGCGGGCCGCCGAGAAGACCCCGGGCTCGGCCGCTGGACGCTGGAAGAAGCCGGCCCTGCTGGACGCCCCCGCGGAGGCCCAAGGGCGCCGGCCCCCCGCGGCCCTCCCGCCCAAGAAGTCGGCCGGCCCCCCGGACAGCCCCCGCCGGCCGCCGCTGGCCGCGGAGCCCCCCGCCCCGCAGGACGACGCGCTCAGGCACCCGGTGACCGGCGAGGCGGTGGAGCGCGGCTCCCCGATGGCCCTGCTGCTGGCCGCGCGGCAGCGGGCGCAGAAGGGCCGGCCCGGAGGGTCCGCCCCGGGCCGGTCCTCGCTGCCCGGCAGCCTGCGGGGCCCCGGCGGCGGCCAGCCCGACGCCCCCGACAGCATCTTCTACTCCCAGGGCCGGCCCAACTCCTTCACGGTGGTGCCCAGGCCCAGCGCCCCGTGCCAGCCGCCCGCGCGCCGGGACGCGGACGGCGGCTGGACGCAGGAGCGGCCCGCGCCCGCCCGGGGCCCCCCGCCGCCCAGGTCCTTCTCGTCGCCCCCTTCGCCGTCCCGCACGGGCGGGGACAGCGACGGCGACGGCGACGACGAGGCCGCCGCGTTCGGCTTCGGGCTCATCCCGCCGCCGCCCGAGTTCTGCAGCGAGCCCGAGCCCCCCGGGCCCCCCGCGCCGCAGTCCCGGCTCGGGCGGGGGTCCCCGCCGCGGCCCGGCGGCCTGGCCCCGCTGTCCGGCCGCGCCGGGGCCCGGGAGCGCGGCTCCGGCACCGGCCGCTCGCTCATCAAGAAGCGCCTGTACGTCGGGGAGCCCCCGCGGCCCGCGCCGCCGTCCCGGGGTCCCTCGGCGCGCAGCCTCAGCACCCCCAACTGCTTCGGCCCGCCGCCCGCCGGCCCCGAGATGCGGCGCGTCCACTCGGCCGGACGCGCGGCGCCCCCCGGGGGGCTGCACGCGCGCAGGATGTCGCTGGAGGGCGCGGCCCGCGGGGAGCCCCGGGCCCAGGCGGTGGGCGCCGGCGACCTCGGCTACGGGGGGCCCGCCAGGTGAGCGGCGGCGGGGATGCGCGCCCCCCTCGACCTGGCTCATCCACCCCGCCCCGCGGCTGCGGGCTGAGGGTGGGCTGCCCGGGGTGGGCGGGGGGCGTGTTTCCCAACACCCGTGGAAAGCGACTCGGACCCTGGCCCGGAGTGTGCAGCTCCCGGCAGAGGGAACCAGACGCGTCCTCCCCAGTCCGCGGGGAGGGGTCCCTGCCTCCCTCACGCCCCCTCCCCACATACAGGGGGTTGACAGTTTGGGACTTGAGGGGGCCGACACCACAGCACTCACCTCTCTCCCCTCGCGTGCCCTGGCAGAGGTGGGGGGTGGGGGGCGACCAACCAGCTGCAGAGACTCACCTCCCTTCTCTCCTTCCCCCCCCCCCCCCCCCCCCCGTCCACGCCCGCAGGACTGTCCACGGCGCCCCCCACTACGGAGGCCCCATCAACACGTTCACCGTGAGACCTGGAACCCGTCACCCCATCTCCTACGGCTACTCGGGGACCCATCGGAAATCCATGTCCTGAGCCCAGCACTCTCAGCTCCGGCCCCGAGGGGCCAATCTGGGCATCTGCTTTTTTTGGGGTGGGGAGTGGGGTGGCACAGACATGGGGGGCTGTGTTCCCTGAATACAGAGTGGCAAGGAGCAAGGAGCAGGGCCCCCTCGGGAAGATGAGTGAGGGGAGGGTGGCGGCCGCGTGGGGGAGGGGTGGGCAGATGGGGGAGTCCTCCACGGGGTACTCTTAGCTTGTAGAGGGGCTACCGAGAGGTGGGGCTATCCGGTGGGTTCTAAAGGTGAGGAGGGGGCGGGCAGGGTCTGGGAAAGGGGGTGCGAGGTTCGGCCCTGACTGATTGGGACGGGGGTGCGGGGGGCACTCTTGGTGGGTCTCCCGGTCCGCCATATGCCACCCGAAGGTGATGCCTGGACTAGAGGTGGAGACCTGCTGCCCCCCCCAGGGCGCTTTGCTGCCCAGGGCGGGCTAGAAAGTTCTAGAACACGGAGACATAGCAAGTATAGGGTGGGAGGCAGCAGAGGAAGGTTCACCTCTTGATTCGGAGTTTGGAAACTGGGCCTGGGACCCAGGGACTCTGAGGCTTGTCCCCTGTGGGGTGCGGAAGGGACCCCCACTCCCAGCCCTCGGTATTAAGGAGCCCTAACAATGTGGCCAAGGTACGGGGGGTCTTGGGAGCACGGAGAGGAGGCGGCGGTCTGAGAGGAGTTGGCTGTCGGTGGGGAATGTGCTAGAAGGCTGGGAGTGTGGCATGGCCGCTCAGCACAGCAGATGTCAGGAGGGTGGCGACTCGTGTGTGAGGCCCCGAGGCCAGTCCCCCAGCAATCTCAGCCCTGGAGACCCCCTCATACTAAAGGGCCCAAGCACCAAATATTGGGGACCCCTGAATCCAGCCTAGAGCCACTAGATGTAGCTAGCCCCTATACTGAAGGTGATGGTGTGCACTGGAGCACGTCACCAGACATGGCGGGAAGCAGGACTCCTGCTCCGGCCGTCTTTAGGTGGTGGGCTGCGCTCCTGGGGCCCAGAGGAGGAGGAGGAGGAGGAGGAGGAGGAGGAGGAGGAGGAGGGGTAGGGAGGGCACCCCACAGGGACGTGGCTGGTAGCCAGCAGCTTGGTGCCACTTCCTTTGGGAATTCTTTTTTTTTTTTTTTGGAGGGGGGGAGGAGCATATGCTGTGCTGCTATGGGGATTCTCCTGGCTCACTGTTTGGGGGTCGTTCCCGGATGGAGCCTGGGCCTGTGGCCTGCGACATCTCTCTGGCCCGCGGTTCCCCGTGGGGCATGCACGATGCCGGATCCTTATGGCTGTGAGGACCACCGGAAGCGCATCTCAGGGAGAGAATTTAGGGGGAACACCGAGGGTGCTTTGGAAGCAAAGCCCTCCTGGAGTCTGGCTTCTCCAGTCTGGCACCCCCCAAAGCGTTTCCCAGAGTTTAGCTGCTGTGAGGGCGGGGGAGGGGAGCTCAGGCTTCTGGCTGTATCTGGCTCTGGGGCGGCACCAAAGGGTGGCCCTCACCTGTGTGGCTGGGAAATAAACGGGCTGGTTTGGACTGGCTTTCAGCAGTGCGGCTGTGGACTGATGCCTGGGAACGCCTGGGAGCGACCAGGGGTGTGGGCAGGGAGGGCTGGGGGTGGGGCAGGGGTGAGGGGGTGAGGGGAGGGAGGGAGGCTTAGCCCAGGGTGGGGGCTGAGCTAGGGAGCCTCAAGCTTTCTCTTGGGGCCCCAGAGGTTTCCTCCCCACTCCAAATTCTTGGGACAGAAGGAGCAATGTGCCGTATCCTTCCACGGTTCTCCGATTCCTCGGCACTGCAGGTGTGAGAACCACAGGCCACTGTGACGATCCCAGTCACGCACTCGACCAGTCTCTGGGTGATGACCACTCGACGTGACATGCCACTGAACATAGAGGGTGCTGTCAAACCGCTCCTGCCTGCTACAAGAAAGCAGTCCAGGGGCTGGAGCGATAGCACAGCGGGGAGGGCGTTTGCCTTGCACGCGGCCGACCCGGGTTCAATTCCCAGCATCCCATATGGTCCCCTGAGCACCGCCAGGAGTGATTCCTGAGTGCATGAGCCAGGAGTAACCCCTGTGCATTGCTGGGTGTGACCCAAAAGGCAAAAAAAAAAAAAAAAGAAAAAGAAAAAGAGGGACTGGAGCAATAGCACAGCGGGTAGGGCGTTTGCCTTGCACGCGGCCAACCCGGGTTCGATTCCCAGCATCCCATATGGTTCCCCGAGCACTGCCAGGAGTGATTCCTGAGTGCATGAGCCAGGAGTAACTCCTGTGCATCGCCAGGTGTGACCCCCCCCCCCCAAAAAAAAATAAAAGAAAACAGTCCAGGGACCAGAGAGATGGTACATGGGCAGGGCACGTGCCTTGCATGTAACCAACACAGGTTTGGTCCCCAGCACCACAGAGCCCCGGCAGGAGTGATCCCTGAGTGTACAGCCAAGAGTAGGCCCTGGGCACAGCCGGGTGTGGCCCCCAATACAAGAACGTTTTCCACTCATGATCGTTTTCAGGGCTGGAGAGATAGTACAGCAGGTAGGGAGTTCACTTTGCACGTGGCTGACTCACGTTTGATCCCCGGCACCCCATATGGTCCCTTGAGCACTGAGAACAGGAGTCAGCCCTGAGCACCACCACATCGAGCTCCAAAGTGAAACCAAAAGACATTTTCCTGGGATGGAGTTGACCCTAGCGCAGCCAGAAGTGACCCCCAGCACTGGAGCTGGGAACGGCCCTCCCCACCCCAAAACAGCATGCCCCAGAAGCACTGAAGACTTGTCGAAACACACAGTTGCTGGGACTTGTCCGCAGAGCTCCTGATTCACACTGGGGTGGGGCCTGAGAACTCACATTTCTAAACGGTACCCAGGCGGGGCTGCCGGTTCTGCTGGCCCAGGAACCCAGCCTGAGAAGTGCTTCGGCACAGGGGGCTGGAGCGATAGCACAGCAAGGAGGGCATTTGCCTTGCACATGGTCAACCCGGGTTCAATTCCCAGCATCCCATATGGTCCCCTGAGCACCACCAGGAGTAACTCCTGAGTGCAGAGCCAGGAGTAACCCCTGAGCATCGCCGGGTGTGATCTAAAAAAAAAAAAAGGGCACAGGGTCCCACGGAATTGGCCCAGCTGACCGGTGAGAAACCAGAGTCCCCCAGCCCAGTGGCCTTGCCCAGCTCTCAGAGCCAGCAGGAGCTGAAGCGCTGGCCCTGCCCGGTCCCAGGGGCCTGGAGGAAGGAGAGCAGCTGGTGAGGGAGGGCTCGGGCTGCTGTGAGCCATGCCTGGGCATACACAGGTTTTCTTGGGTGGGGGGAGGGCTGGGGTTTGGGCCACACCTGGCAGTGTTCAGGGCTTACTTCTGGCTCTGTGCTCCAGGGGGTCACTCCTGGAGGGGCTCTGAAGAAGAGGTGCTAGAGATGAAACCGGGCCCAGCCGGGAGCAAGGCAGGGGTCTGAACACCTGGACTGACTCTCCAGGCCCCGAGAGTCCACAATTATTTGTTCTGGGGCCACACTCAGGACTGACTGACGTGCTTGGAACTGAACCCAGGTCGGACGTGTACAGGCTTACCTGCTGTACCTTCTCCAGCCCCGTTAAGCATCAACAATTTTTTTAAAAAAAGTTTTTTTTTAAGTTTTTGGGTTTGGGGCCACATCCAGCGATGCTCAGGGCTTACTCCTGGCTCTGCGCTCAGGAATCACACCTAGAGGAGTCAGGGACCATCCGGGATGCCGGGGATCAACCCTGGCACAGTTCTAAGCCTTTACCTAAGCCTGAGCATCGCCGGGTGTGATCTAAAAAAAATCTGTCGAGCCAGCCACATGTGGTATGCCCAGCCCGAAGGAGCAAATTCAGGAGTGTGGGGGACCATGCGGAGCCGGGAAGGGACCGGGGGCTCGGGCATGCTGAGCAGGGTAGCCCTGGGCTCGGGTGCCCCTGCAGGCTGGCACAGACTGTGCTGAGCAGGACAGAGCCCAGGGCAGCAGGTGTGGCCGTGGGTGTGGCGGCCTTCTGAGAGGGAGCGGGGATTCGAGAGACCGGAGGATCCCCTCCTCCTCACCTCTGCGGGAGCCAAAGCTTCAGACCCCAAAGCTTCAGCCCCTTGGGAAGCTGTTCCTTGGGAAGCTGTTCTGAGCCACCTGCACGTGGGGAGAGGAAGAGTGGTCTGGAGGGCAACCACAGCGTCTCCACGGGATCTGCAAGGCCGTCGGAGCAGCAGAGGGCATCAGAGCCCCCGAGGAACCAACCACTGGCCTGGAGACACCCCTTCTTCATCCACAGGCTCCCTGTGGGAACTGGGGGGGGGCAAGGGGCAGAGCTGCGGCAGGAGCATGACCAGAGAGCCAGGCCTGTCCCCAGAGGCGGGCGGCAAGGGAGAGAGCTCCCGGGCGTCCCTGCCCAGGAGGATGCGGGCGCCAGGGCCCACGGTTCTGACCAGACCTCAGAGAATCTCGAACTTTCTGGGAACCAAGGAGGAAGGTTTTGGGAAAGACTCCAGGCAGGTGCACTCAAGGAGGAGCACTTGGGGACGAGCTGGGGCATCCCAGGGCCAGGTCCCCGGCTTCGCCTTTCAAGGGCTACAGCTGTCACCGGACAAGGAGGACAGGGCTGGGCCTGGATGTGTCTCCTTCTGCCACACCTGGGGGAAGGTGCCCTGCCCCGAGGGATGGCAGCGTACGAGCCTGGGGCTCGGAGGGCTGAGCACGTAGGAGGTGGTCGGGTCGCCGTGTCCTCCGGACCCCACTGGACTGACTCCCGAGCACAGAGCTGGGAGTAGCCCGCCCAGCCCCTCTAGGTGGGGGTCCCCAAACCACACAAAAAAAGACGAACTAAAACTTGAGCTCGGGGTTGGAGAGAGTGTGCAGGGAGTTAAGGACAGGCTTACCGCGCCTGAGGCCCAGAGTTTGCTCCCTGAGACCAAAGGAAGGGCCCCACACACCGCAGAGTTAACGGGAGTGTGGACCCGAGTGGTAGGACAGCTGGGAGGGCATCTGCCTTGCACGCGGTCAACCCGGGTTCGATTCCCAGCATCCCATATGGTCCCCCGAGCACCGCCAAGAGTGATTCCTGAGTGCATGAGCCAGGAGGAAC